CTCCCTCCTTCGACGAGATCTTCTGATTTGGAACGGTGTTCTGCCTGCTTGCTTGCTACAAAACTGGTGGCAGCGGTTCTTCTCCATGTCCCACGACCAGGCTACCGCGAAATCAACCGAAATGCCCGCCAGCGTGGACGTAGGAGAGCTTTGCCAAGCCCTTATGTCTGTCCTGAAGACAAGGCAATCCTCCACGGACACACTGCCTCTGTTGAAACCGGGGGACAATTTCGCCGTTTGGTACTCCCAAGCGAGCGTTCATTTGGCCTCCATTGCGGCCAAAGACCGTGCGCGGTACATATGCCGCCACCTCTCAACGGAGGCGCTAACAAAGGCCTCTGCTTTCGGGGTCAAGTTCGACACCGACGCGGATTCGCTGTTGAGCGCCCTTCGGCGCGTTTTTGCAACGCCCAAGCCCCCAGTGGACGCGCACAGGCAGTTCTCGTCCTGTCTTCAGCTCCCTGGGGAGAGTGCCAGAGATTATTTAGGCTGTCTTCGCCCTTTGGTATTGGCGGCCTTTCCTGACCAGCCAGCGAGCCTGACTGATGTTGTTCTGGCTGCGCACTTCCGCGCTGGTTTATTGGACGATAACCTCCGGCGGAAATTGATCAAGAAGCTCAACTTAGCGTCTGAGGCTCTCTTAACCCTGGTGCAGGAGTATGAGGAACGCTACGGTCCCTCAGTCGCCGCGCCATGTTATTCCACCTCAGTTGCCCGGAAACGGCAGACTCGGTCAGTGGCGACCCAGACATTCCGGAATTTCACACGTCCATTCCGGGGTGGCCAGGCTCGCGTCGCACAAATCTCCAGTGAGTCCTACACCGTTCCTACTGTTACATCTACCTCTGATTTTCCTGCTCCCATTGTTAACGCAACGGTTGTAGACAGGCGAGTGGCGTTTCTTGTTGACACAGGGGCAGCCTGCTCTTTGCTAAACCCCCAGGGTTTCACCCGCACCTGGCTACAACAGGCCGAAATTTCCCATAGACATCCCCGTATTGTAGCGGCGAACGGTATGCCACTTTCCTGCTCGTCACTAGTCGACGTGCCATTTCGCCTGGGCTCATCTGAGTTTACCCACCCCTTCTACGTCTGTCCGGATATTCAGTGGCAGGGTATTTTAGGCGCAGATTTTCTCTATGCTCACCGTTTCTGCGTCGATTTTGCGGCCGGTCAACTCACCTCTAAGTCGACTACAATCCTCTTTTATTTTCACCATGCCCCTGACCCCCAGCTGTTTTGCGACTCAGTTGGGCTCCACCCTCCCCAGCCTTCCGACCTGGTACATTTGGTTCCCGACTCTCCCGGGTTCTCCTCTGAACAGATCACCGCTGTTCGTAACCTTATATTCAAAAACTCCGCTGCGTTCGCATGGGATGGTGAACCCCTTGGTAGAACGAATGTATTGCAGCATACTATCGACACGGGTTCAGCTCGACCAATCCGTCAACCCCCTCGCCGCGTACCCGTGCATTTCCAGAAACAGTTAGAGCAAACCATCAAAGACATGCTGGACAAGCACGTTATTCGCCCCTCGTCCTCACCCTGGGCCTCTCCAATCGTCCTCGTTAAAAAGAAAGACGGATCTTTGCGATTGTGTGTTGATTACCGGAAGTTAAATGCCGTAACCGTCAAAGATTCCTTCCCACTTCCACGCATTGACACCACCCTAGAGGCACTCGCAGGAGCTGCATGTTTCTCCACACTCGATTTGCAGTCCGGCTACTGGCAGGTGGAAATGGCTCCCGAGGATAGGCCTAAGACTGCATTTTCCATTCCCTCTGGGTTGTATGAGTTTGAAACTATGCCGTTTGGCTTGGCAAACGCGCCTGCTACCTTTCAACGTTTGATGGCCTCGGTCTTACGGGATTTATGCCCTACCGCGTGTTTGGTCTACCTGCACGATGCCATCGTACACGGGTCTACCGTCGAGTCCCACCTTGATAACCTTCAAACCGTCTTTAACCGTCTACAGGCCGTAGGCCTTAAACTGAACCCGGCTAAACGCTGTTTTCTCAAAAAGTCTGTTCCTTTCTTGGGTCACATCGTCTCAACTGAAGGGGTAAAGACGGATCCTGCGAAGACAGAACAAATACGCAGTTGGCCGCAACCGACGTCAGTTTCCGAGTTGCGCGGTTTCCTCGGTCTGGCCTCCTATTATCGCCGGTTCATGAAAGATTTTGCACACATAGCTGCACCCCTTAATCGTCTCACTAGCAAGCAGAACGCATTTAACTGGTCCGACGAGTGTGAGCGTTCCTTTGAGGAACTCAAACGGCGGTTGATCTCCCCTCCCCTGTTGGCCTTTCCCAACATATCCGAGTCAGCCCCACCTTTCATCTTGGACACTGATGCATCAGATGTAGCCATTGGGGCGGTCTTGTCTCAACAGCAAACCGATGGACTGGAACATCCCCTCATTTTGGCCAGTCAGACGCTCACCAAGCCTGAGCGTAACTACTCTACCACTCGCAAGGAGCTTCTAGCCGTCGTCACCTTTGTCAAGAAATTCCATCACTATCTCGCCGGCAAACGGTTCATTTTACGCACCGACCACCAGGCGCTGCGCTGGTTGGAAAACTTCAAGGATCCGACCGGTCAACTCGCTCGCTGGCAGGCAGACCTCTTGGAATACTCTTACACTGTCATCCATCGGGCCGGTAAAAAGCACCAGAATGCCGATGCCTTATCTCGCCGAGCACAAACATCACCACCGACCGCAACATACGCCCCAGCAACTGCGATTACGTTTGGCACTCCCGACCACTCAGGGTGGGCGTCGGCTCAAGCTTCAGATCCCTATATATCTCTTATCTATGATCGGTTGCGTCAGGGTGCGCCAAAACCGTCAAGCGAAGAAATGAAGGGCTACATCTGGGAAGCTCGCTGCCTTTGGTCAGCGTGGAACAGCCTTCGCCTCTGTGACGGCGTGCTTTTTCTTAAATATTCTCCCACCGACCCCCGTCGTTTGGTTTTGCCGCATGATGCGATCCATCCCACACTTTCCCGTCTTCATGTTGATCTGGGACACGCTGGTCAAGCTCGTACCGACACCGCCGCGCGTCAGCGTTTC